ATATACGAAAATTGTATTAAATTCAAGTTAGCACAGAAAAGAATATGTTAAGCATATGAGCATTTATAACGGAAATAAAAATTCATTTAAAAATATAAATTAGTATTAATATACTGAAATTAACCGGTTAAACGCGATATACGAAAAAAAAATTTGTCTTAAATTCCAGTTAACACAGAAAACAATATATTCTTTACTCCAGCAGTGGTTTGCTAATTTTGATTACCATGGTAATGCATCAAACTATTCTGTCATCCTAGATAATCAATAATAATTTTTTATTTCAATTTAATCATCTATTATGTCACCACCTGCCATCCTCTGAAAAGGTTATTGTTAGAAAAGCATTAATATATTATCTTGTTCAAATTTTAACGCCATAAAAATTTATTTATTCTCAGAATTTTAGATGACAATTACCAATAATAAAAATAAAAGGGTGTGTTACAAATTAGCATTCACCCCTCCTTTCATCCCGAACCGAGAACCGGCATCTATCTACAAAAATATTTCTATTTATTCAATGTTAAAAATTTCAGAAAAAATAATAATAAATAAGAGAAGAATAATATAAATCTGCAAATGCGAACAAAGACAGTGATAATTCAACAAAATAAACGCAAGAGGAGTGTTTGCATACTTCGAACAACCAGGTTACCAGGTTTGAACTATTATCGCCATTACATTTACCGGGTTCTTTGCGGAAGTGCTTCCGAAATGTTTTTGAAACATTTTGAATTCGTTGTTATATTGATCTATGAAGCAGTAGATTAGTGAGTTTTTATTACATTACTGACAAGTATAGTTTTTTAAGAATCAAAAAATTTCCAGCGGAGATAATTATTTGTCAAATATGAATGTGTTTTCAAATAATAAGTGATAAAAAAGAAAAATCAGTTAGAACATTCACATTTCTAACAAAGTAATTTGCTTTGCTTTAATCTTTATAATACAATACATTTTACAATGATAAGGCAAAATACAATGTGGAATGGTTATGAGAAGATTACGATAGTGCCTAGAGTATTCAGCATTTCGTATAATCCTATACCAAGATAATAATAATATTAAAATAAATTTTATCTGAATGAAGTTTTCTTATTACAGAAACAGTAAAATTATGCAATTGCATAAACGAATGCACTTTCAGACAATATATTTAATACTGTTTACAAGTTGAAGCCCAAGTTCTGTTTACGCCCTTCAGCGCATGCTCAAGAATTACCATCCAGGCGAAACTAGTCGATTTGTCCATGACGTCAAAAATTCGAAAAGTGGGGTAGGGTTTGGAAATACGCGGCGTGATCGGCAGCGCTTAGCGGCACGTTGTGTTCGATGAGGAATGCAGTAAACAAACACTTGGCCAAAATGACATCGACATCTTAATACGAAAAAAATCATCCACTTTCTTTGACGTTGTCGAAGCCGAAGCATTAACTTCATGCTTTTTAGACTTAACATGCTTCCCAATGTTGCTTCTTCCACCGTGACTTATTATAAAGTCACACACACACACACATTGCAAAATGCATAGTTATTTCCTTTGAAGGATTCTTTAATTGTTGGAAATTCGGCTTTGTAGGCAGGCCGAAAATATTGAGAATACGGTTTTTTTGAACTCATTTCGTAACAACAACGTATTAAGAAAATTCGTAGCACGTGCAAACAATAAAAAACAGAATGCGACAATCCACGCTCGCTGAGTCCGAGCTGAGTAATTCCCTTGCTGCTGAAGTGAACGCGAAAAAATAATCTAGCACCCACAAAGAAAAGAGTGGGAGAAACAAGTTCAGCGCATTGAATTGGGCTGGTTAAGCGGCGAGTTGGGAGAAACCGAGCAGGTTACTGGATTTGGAGTAGTAGGTAGTTGGCGGTAGGTATTTGTTTTAAAACATGGTTGCGAAAACACGATGCAATTGGCGAAAAATTGCTGAATTGGCGAAAAAATCCTAAAATTTCGACAAAAATCACTAAAAAAACACTTGAAAAAGGAAAAAAATCGTAAAAAATGGATTACGATCGTAAAATCGTAGACAAGCGCATTTTCGTAAAAATTACGAAAAATTCGTAAGGTATTGGCAAGTATGCTTTTATCAATAAATAAAATTTGTTTAAATCTGTTTCACATAGTAACCATCCAAGTGTGCCCAACATATAGGTACTTGTGGAAAAACTGGAATAAAAGACTTCAAGATTTGTATAAATTGTGAAATTTTACCAAATTTCTCATATGTATTTTTATGAGGAAGCTTGTCGCCTCCTCATATTTTACGAGGGCCATCCAGGAAGTAGATTACGTTTCCGTCTGTGTCCACTAGGGGCGGGGCTAGCGCGGCCATCTTGGGGTCAGAGCGTTGCGCAGCTCAGTCTGCATCTAGCCGTGCTAGTGAGAGGTTCGTGCTGTGCTCCGTTCAGATACTGTGACGGTTTGAAATGTCTGCGTTAATTGAAAATCCCGCGAGCTGCGAGGTGCGCTCAGTAATAAGGTTTCTGACTGCAAAAAACTGTAAACCGATAGAAATCTATCGGCAGCTTCGTGAAGTGTATGGGGACAACATTATCACTGAAGGTGGAGTGCGTCAGTGGGTCATAAGATTTCAAAATGGGCCGAAACCAATGTTCACGACGAAGATCGAAGTGGGGGAGACCCAGCATAGTGACCGCCGAACTTCTCGAAAAAGTCGATGCTAAAGTCCGTGAAAATCGAAATTTCACAATAACGGAACTTTCTTTGAGTTTTTCCACAAATTTCGCGAAGTTTGTTGCACGAAATCATCAGCGAAAAGCTTGGTTACCACAAGTTTTGTGCAAGATGGATTCCAAAAATCTTGACAGAGGACCACAAAAATCAGCGAATGGCTGCTGCAGCGTTGAACTTTTTGGACGCTTACCATAAGGATGGTGACTCTTTACTCGATCGCATCGTTACTGGTGACGAAACATGGGTGAAAACATGTGAACTGTGAAACGAAATTGCAATCAATCATGCAGTGGGGGCACACAACTTCTCCCCAAAAACCCAAGAAATGCATGCAAACAATGTCGGCAAGGAAGATGATGGCGACTGTTTTTTGGGACAGAAAAGGTGTAATTTTGGTGGACTTCCTGGAAAGAGGCACTACAATAAACTCTCAAAGGTATTGCCAAACTCTCCAAAAACTCAGAAGAGAGCAATTCAAAACAAGCACAGAGGAATGTTGAGCTCTAAGATCTTGTTGATTCACGACAACGCCCGGCCCCACACGGCAAATGTCACTCGTAAAGTTTAAAGTTCTTGAATCTTTTAAGTGGGAGTTGTTTCCTCATCCGCCGTACAGTCCCGACCTGGCACCGAGCGACTTCCACCTATTCCCAGCAATGAAGAAGTGGCTGGCTATGCAGCGTTTTGATGACGATGCACAGCTGCAAGAAGAGGTAACGAAGTGGTTGAAGGCGCAGGCGGCCGAATTTTTCGACGAAGGAATTTCCAAGCTCGTACATCACTACGATAAATGCCTTAATTTGTATGGTGACTATGTAGAAAAGTAGTATTTGAGTGTGGCTTTCATCTGTATATAATAAAATTTTTTTCCTATACTTTGTTTATTTTTTTATTCCAAAACGTAATCTACTTTCTGGATAGCCCTCGTATATATATTTATGCCAAAGGGCATGTTGCTTTTTATGCCTTCAAAGTGACATGGATGGCGACCATCTCAAGAACTGCCCCCATTGTTTTAAAGTTTTTAATTTGATGACAACTCTTTTGATGCTAGTTTTAATTCTTATTTTCATTCTTCTTCATTTTCCTAGGCTGCTCGTTGCTTAATGGCAGAAGTGCTGTGAACGGGCGTAGGATTAAAAAATTATGAGCCCCCTTCCAGAAAGTCTATTTACCTCTTTTGTGGTAGTCCTGAAACTCCCAGCCATGGCATGATCACAGTAGTTTTGAACAACAAAAGATCCATAGCTTAAATACTAGTATGCTGCTCTAAATATGTGAAAGAACTCTACTGAAGGCTTCATCAGGTCTAATTTTCACATTATCTGTTTTATTACATTAATATTATTTATCCCATTACTTGGTTTCTGAATTCATCCATTCAAAAACATCTTCTTCGGTGATCTTTTTATTTTTTGTAACCATGTCTATAATTTATTCTTAATGTCCACTGATGGGGTTCCTTTTGCCTTTAAATGTAAACTATATTCTTTTTAATGTAATGTACAATACAAATTCTGTTAAATGATTCATCACTCATAAGAAAGGCTGAAAGATCAGGCACTGTTAGTGGGGTACATGGCACCCTTTCTTTCTGCTGACAAGTTTCGGTTATTTCTTTTGAACTGCTAGGTGTGACTGCTCTGTCACCAGTACAGGACCAAATCTATAATTCTACCCAGCATCAACAGCTGCCACCAGACAGATAAGATAATCTAAAGAAGCAGCTTGAAACGTCTGCACATCTTAAGTAATCATCTTGAATATCCAACCGATCAAGATCCAATAAAATCTTGATCGAAATAGCCTAAACAAAAGCAATCTTCTGGCTGTTGCTTCAGATTACGTGTATTGCTCATTAACAGCCCAAATTTCTACACGAACCTACAAAACATTTGTGCCTGCATCAAAATAAAATTGTAAAATGCAGTGCAGTTTTGAGGAAAGTTCCCTTATCTTCCATTCACTATACCTTACACCTAAGTAGAATAATTCTAATACTTTTTGCTTACTTACCAGCTTCAAATGCCAGCTGTCAAATGACAATCAGCCTGGCCTGCTTTGGCTCACAGATCCTGAGATTTGGGACATTAATGATATATTATGAGCAAAAGGCTCAATGTTCTACACAATATTTGAAAATTATATATCACTCCTGCCAATTATTCTTTTCACAATACCGCACCACTTTTGCAATGGATAAAAAGTTCTTTAGGCACAAAGTGTATTTTACTTTTAATTTGAAACTGCTTTTATTTAATAAATGAATATTTGACTGGCAATTTGTCTCTCAATTTATTCTCTCTTCAGTTCAATCATTCTGATAGGCAAAGTCATGCTGTTGCAATAAACCATTCAAAGTCCATGCCAGATGTAATCCTGCAATTGTCATCACAATAAAATTCAGTCTTGCATTTACAATTGCACAAGTGAGCTAAGTCAAAATATACAGAAGTAGTAATATCAGGCATGTTGGCAAAAAAAGCTGAACAACGCGCGGACACAAAATTACACAAAAAAACAAAATGTGCATGCACCACCTAAAAAACAAATTTTAATAAAATATCAACCTTTTGATATAAAAAGTATTAAACATATACATATAATTAAACTAAAATAATACTTGTACTTACTATTTTGCTATTAATTTTATCTTCCACTTGTTAAAAAAAACCCAGTAAATCACCAAGAGATTGTAATGAATTAACCTACTTTAAGATGCTCTTTATGTAACTTAATTTAACAGTTGATACATGAATACTGTACACAACATTACAACACACTAATATACATATTTATGTTATATATTACTGCCCATTTCCAGGCAATGACAAGTTTTAAAGATAATATATATATATATATATAACTGTTATTATAGCTTTCAATTATCTTCACTTTTAGTTCAATAAACAGTACTTTATATAACACCAGAAAAAGTAGTCATGTGACATAATATAGTTACAAAATAACATAACATATAGTTAAAGGAGGAATTTAAAAAATAACTATTTTGTCTGTCTCACTCGATCCTGATTAAAAATTTTTAGGCAAAAAGTTTTTTCTTTTTTGCTACTTTTGCAGCCAACTTTTCTAATTTCCGTTTGCGAGCTAGTCTCAATTTCTTTTCAGAAACTTAACAGTTTTGTAACTTAATTTAACAGTTGATACATGAATACTGTACACAACATTACAACACACTAATATACATATTTATGTTATATATTACTGCCCATTTCCAGGCAATGACAAGTTTTAAAGATAATATATATATATATATAACTGTTACTATAGCTTTTCAATTATCTTCACTTTTAGTTCAATAAACAGTACTTTATATAACACCAGAAAAAGTAGTCATGTGACATAATATAGTTACAAAATAACATAACATATAGTTAAAGGAGGAATTTAAAAAATAACTATTTTGTCTGTCTCACTCGATCGATCCTGATTAAAATTTTTAGGCAAAAAGTTTTTTCTTTTTTGCTTTTGCATTTAAAAAAGTTTTTAGCTTTTGCTAGTCTTTTGCTTTCCAATTTGCTTTCTTTTGCTTTTGCAGCCAATTTCTAATTTTGATACATTGATACTTTTTTATTTTCTGCAATATTTAATTGCCTTTTTTTTTAGATTCTCGCTCCTCCTTTTTTATCTCTAGCTCTTCTTTGTACAATTTATGAGCATTCCTTAAATTTTTACACAGTTTTGTGTACTGGAGAATGATAGTGGTTATCCGTATGTCCGACAGATGGCACCAGCATGGATCGCTGAAATTACTGAAGTCATCTGTCATCTCTTGTTTGACGGTTGCTTGCTCTTCTTTGATTCGATATTTGTACGCATCTAGTTCCGCCTTTCCACATAAGCCCCACCTACTTCGCCTTGATGTAAAACAACGTATTTCGCGATCTCTGGCATGATGGAAAGTTTTTTACAAAGAAAAGAGGGAGAGAGCGTGTCCTCCGTTTACCCCCCCCCCCCCCCCGCACACACATTTGCCGGTCGCGATTTCTCAACGGTTCTACCTCGATCTCAGAAACAGCCCGGCTGACGTTCAAAAAAGCGGAATTCCGTGAAAACGCGGAAAACTTTCATGCCTGTAATATTTTGTAGCAAAAATAATAATCAAATGCCCAACTGAAATTATTTTCACATTTGAAATATGAAACCACAACAGTATTTTCATTACGTTAAATCATTATTATGTTTCTATTTTTTTTAATGAAATGACAGAGAGTAGAGGGAAATAAATCATTCAGAGAACCAGGATCAAATTATATTCAGCATGACACAGCAATGCTGCTAAATTGGGTAAAAGATAACATATTTTTAACATTTTTATACTTAATTTACTTTTTCTCTTATTGGTATAAACTTGTTCAGCATAATTTTGAAATGCCAATCCTTGGACATAACGGTCCTGAACAGTTTTTTCATGAACGTATATTAAAAGATGACTTCATTGCAATGATTATTTCAATTTGAAGATATAAATAACTTTCAAAAGAATTATGTTACTTTTTAAAACTGAAGTTTAATGAGATTTCTAAAAAATTAATACTTTTAATACATCCGTTTACAAAAATCAGTATAAACAGCTTGAAATTTTTAAACCATTTGGAATGATCATCAGCACAGACTTGAGCAAATCAACATAATGATTACCATAATCTGACTGCATGGATTTAATGGCAATTTGACTGAATATATCAATAGGCAATTTCGGACATTACATCACAACATATATAACCAAGTGGCTTAAGCATACTGACATAGTACTAAAGCAGTCTAGCCTATGTAAAAAAAACTGGGTATTAATTTCCGCAGTTTAAAGGATTAATATTACACTTCCTTACCATACTAAGTTTTCCAATAATGCCTAATATTCTTGCGACAAGGACTAGAGTTCCTGATTGTAATTCTGCAGCCATTTTCATCTTCTGTACATGTTCAGTAAAAGACTGGGGACGAACAGCTGCCATATCCAAAAATATTTGAAGAGCTGAGGCTGCTGTGCTTGGTATTGTTAAACATTCACTCAAATGAGGTAAGTTGCTCTCCAGTAACTAAAATAAATGCACAAGATTTATAATACCACATGCGAAGTGCAGTAACATATCAACAGTGAAAGGTGCTATGCAAGCAAACTATAAGTTTCAGCATTATTATAAAATATTGCATTACTTAATATATAATACAACAAAATTTTTATTACCCAAACGAATGGGAAGAGAACTATATTCAGTATAAAAATTAGCACAAAAGCCGCTAAAAGCACAAATAAATATAAAAGGCAATATCAAGGAAGACAGTGGTATAAGTGGACAGTGGTATTAAGGAAGATATTGGTATATATCAGGGATGGCCAACCTGCGGCTGGCGAGCCACATGCAGCTCTTTAAAGGATTATTTGTGGCTCTCGATAAATGTACCCGACTTCCCTTTTCACTTTTGTGTTATTATATTTTTAAAAATTATTATCGTTCCGTATGTGTTTCAAAACGTCTTTTAAATTACTGACTACAAATATGAAAGATTAAGTGCAACGTTGTAACAAATTTCATTTCCGTCCAAGTTCAGAATGATATAACTCATCGAAAACTGAGCGAAAGATCATAAACAGTGGCATAACAGTTCCGTTCGTCAGATTTTCTTCCCCTTCGACTGCCTCGTGAATTATGAGACGTGACTTTATTCGTAGTATGTAACAGGTGTTGTTATTGTTTAAATAACACAAAATTTTGTATTTTTTTAATTTCTTCATTTATTTCCAGCTCTTTTAAAATATGACGATACAGAATGAAAATAAAAAAAGAAAATACAAGCAAGAATACAGAAGTTTTAATAAGGATTGGGAGGAGAATTTCTTTTTTATTGACAATAATGGAAATGTGTTATTTATAATTCTATGGTCAAAAATTATAAAGCTAGCAATTTACGTCGACATAATGAAACCAATGAGCCTCAGTTTTTTTAATCAGTATCCACCAAATTCCAAATTAAGATCAGATAAACTTGCTTCTTTAAAATCAAATTTAAATACACATCAGTCAGTTTTGATTACCCTTTAGCAATCAAGCTAATACAGTGTCTGAAACTAATTCTATTATTGCCTGGAATAATGCTCGTGCAAAAGGCCCGTATGAAGAGGGAGAGTTTATTAAAAAAAACTTGAAAGATGTACTTAAAGTTTTAGATCCAAATAATGCAGCATTGCACAAAGTTATTTCGCAAATTCCCATCTCGAGACACACAACCGAACGACGCATAACTGCAATTAATACATCTCTTGAATATAATTTAAAAAATGATTTGAAGAACTGTATTGCATTCAGCTTAGCCCTTGATGAATCTACAAATATCACAGATCTTCTGCAACTGGCAGTTTTCATACGTGTTTCACCTGACTTCGTTGTTAAAGAAGAATTATTAGATTTAGTTGCACTTCAAGAGTCAACCCGCGGTGTCGATATTAAAAATGCATTAGATTCCATAATGAAAACTTTGACGTGTCTCATTTGCAAACTCTGACTTTACAATTGCAGGAGAAAGATAAGATAATACCTGACCTCTCACAATGTCTATTTAGTTTTCGAACTAAATTATAACTTTTTCAAAAGGACATTAAAAATAAAACATTTTGCCATTTTCCTCGAATTAAAAAAAAAAAAATTTCCAATATTAAACAAGAAAAACTCAACGAATATATAAAAAAGCTAGAAGGAATATTGACGTAATTCCAAAATAAATTTCAAGACTTGAAACATTTTAAATAGTCTCTTGATTTTTTCCTGAAGCCATTTGAAATTAACATAATTCAACGTGAGTTTTCCATTTCCTATATAATTATGACCCAAAAAGCATCAGGAGAATTAGAATTAATAGAGATGCAAGAAGATCAAGCTCTACAATAAAAATACAAGGTCGATGCCGATTACTGAATTTTGGAAATTTGTACCAGAATTGAAGTATCCCAAATTCAAAAAGGCTGCTTGTTGAATTATTTCAATATTCGGAACAACGTACTTATGAGAATCATTTTATTCCACTTTAAAATTTGTGAAATCCAAACCCTGATCAGTATTAGCTAACCAACATCTCAAAGAATTACTGAGAAGTGCTGTCACCAATTATTCACTAAATTTTAAAGAATTATCAAAAGACGTAAAATAAATGTGTTCAATTTTTAATATTTAAATTCAATACACATACTTTATACTTTTATTTATATGTTTTCAATAAATATAAATTCTGTAAAAAAATTTTAATATGTTTTTTGCATGCCTTTTAAATACGTTTTTAATTGCCGCTCGCGAAAAATTTCAAATTTTGAAAAATAGCTTGGACTATCAAGGAGCTTGGCCACCCTTGGTATATATATTCATGTTTGTAGAAATTTTAACACCATGAAAGAATGATGAGATTAAAAGGAATTCATGCCACATATTATTACTGGTAATACAAATAAACAAAATTTCAAACCAGTACAAGTACAATAATAGCATAAAATTAGCATTTCATAAAACCACTATCAGGTAAAAAAGAACTATACAAAATGGCATTGAATCAAAGAACTTTGGATATGTTTCTCTTGCACTGCCTGCCATGCAGCTTTGACCCAAGCCCACAGTCCATTGATAATGAATGCTGAAAGTAAGTGATGGTCCATTTTCAAGTGATCTTATTCCATACATATACAAACAGCAACATTTCTAGTGTGCCAGCAGACCAGAAAACATGTGATATCCATTTTGCTATTAAATGACACTAAATGATACATGTTAGTGAAAATTACTCAAAGATAAACCATTTAAACCCCACTGGCGAATTGAAAACATCATTAACCCTGGCATACGAATGGAAATTGTTTACAGTTTGTGAATCCATATTAACACTCTTCCTCATTAGTACAAGCAATTTAATTTTATTGGAGGTGCATATATATAAACATACAAAGTTAAGACTATTTAAAGTCTTAAATTAATCATGGATGGATTAATGCCATCAAATAATAAACTTTTTGAAAGTAATACAAGTAAAAATTCAAAACAATGGGAGAAAATATTCCAGATTTATATAATAGCATTAGGTAGAAATACAAAATCCACAGAAACAACGGCAGTTATTTTACTGCAGACTAATGGCAAAGAAACACCACAGCAGTTTAAATACTTTTGATTTAAATAAAGATTTAAAAAGTACTGTTAAGGTAACTGAAGAACATGAAAATTATTGCATACCTAAAGCTGAAAACATTATCTGAAGAAAATAAAAAAGAAGAATTAAGCAGAGTAAAATATCACACACAGAATTAAAAATTCAGTTATAAAAATTAAAAATTCAGTTAATAAAAATCTAAGCTTCATAAAATCCACAAATGCTATAACTGTCCTATGTATAAGATTTATCTACTTTCTAAAAAGGAAAAATACTTAGTTAAATGAGCACAGATAAAAATAATAGCACTGTAAAGGACAACTGAGAACATCAGTCACATAATAATGAACACATCTACAGAAGATAAGAATTGATTAACAAAAAGAAGACAAGAAAGATTTTAAAAAATTTTTTATTAAAAATTAATTATAAAATTTAAATATTGACATGTTATAAGTTAGATACTGGTGCCTAATGTATCGGCACTGCCAAATTTTGAACAAGTAAATTTAAGAAGGAAATGTTTGACTTAACAAAAAATAAATTTACATAATTATAATAATTCCAAAACAGTTAGAAAATGTCCTTTTTTTTGTGAGACATCTAAAGGTAATACAGTTTCTAGCAGTAGCATATCACAAAAATGTTTCATCAATTTTAAATTTGTTTACATAACAAAAATCTGGTGCACAGGATAGGTACAGTAAACCCGAAGTCTAGTAAAAAGTTACCAGAATCTTTAAATGATTATTAGGCATTGTTTAAGGTTATTGGGCGTTTAAATGGTTATATTACCATATTAAATCAAAACCAGAAGGTAGGAACCAGTTTGTAAAACAGAGCTTTAAAGAAAATTCTGCTTAGTTTATTAACCCCATAAAAAAAAAAAATTAAAAAAATTAAAAAAAAAAAAAAAAAAAGAATTGTGAAGAATGGGAAAAGATGGTATATGAAGAAAGTTTATACACCAACAGAGTTTCTGAATTATTTAGCTCAAGCAAGAAAAAAAGGATAGTTTAAACCTTATGATCTTAGCCAAAACACAATGAAAGAACATTGTGACATACCAGTTTTGAGAAAATTTCATCTCAAAGGTCAAATGTTAAGTGTTTTTTACATATAAATGAAGCCTTTTGACTCCAGAAATTCCCAGATGTATATGTGATTTATTTGAGGAAAAAGTCAGAAAAGAACAGGATTTAAGATATCAAGAAGGTACTGGAAAGAGCGCAGAAAAGGAAAGGATTTAAGATTAAAAAGGTACTGGATGGTTGGTTGGAGTTTTTTGACACAAAAACCTATCGTGGTTATACTGAGCCAAACAAATGCTGTGTATTTTCAAAATTTAAAATAAGAAAGACCAATATATCATTCAGTAAATATTCACAAGTAGAAATTTAACACAGTTGCATATAGGTATAAAATAACAATAAAAGTAAAACAACAAAACTGCATCAAAATCAGACACACAAAATTCTTTTACAAAACTAGGCTATAAAACACCATGAAATACAAATAGAAAAACTCAGTCTATTTGTATTTGTACTTGTCTCTACAGTCACGGGATAAATTTTACTTATCTTCAAACCATGATGTTATTCATTTTGAAAATATCATTATAACTAGAATCTAGTTAGACTTTCCAAAACACAAATTAAATTCAGACAGTCAAAGGAAGTGGTAAGTCAGGGCACTCTAATAAAGTGGTAAAGCTTTATAGTCTTTAAAAAGTTAAAAATGTTAGAATGCAGCTTTTCATCAACTAAATCTCTTGCTGAAATCTTACAATTATTAAAATATAAATTTCAAAAGCAATTAAAAACTGAACAATCAATTAAAATGTGTTAAAGGTTAAAACAGTATTACATTCAGCACATACTAGTTCAGGTTCGTCTAACAAGTACCTGTG